GGTTTCTAGAAGGGCTGTGTGACTGGCTGGCTGGAGCAATCTTAGTGGTGGCATTCTGGGAGAGCATGTGGATGGAGGAACAGCAGAGAAGTACCAGAGACAAAGAAGCCATAGTTACTGGATGCCAAACAGTGTGTGCATGTGTGTGTATGTGTGCACATGTGTGAGGAGATTTGATAGAGCAAGAGGCTCTGGAGAAATGTTAGGTTGTGTAATATCTGGAAAGAAAAGGAAAGGGGATTTTTGAAGAAGAATTTCTGTGAGTCATAAATTTAATTTCCTTTAGTACACTTCAAAAGATGAAAGCAAAGTTTTGATTGCCTTTTTTATTTTTTAATGGGCTTCATTTTTTTAGAGCAATTTTAGATTTACATTAAAATCGAGACCATGTACCCAGTTTTTAGAGCAATTTTAGATTTACATTAAAATCGAGACCATGTACCCAGTTTCCCCAATTACTAACATACATCAGTATGTTATCTTTGTTACATTAATTACATTAATTATCTTTGTTACATTAATTAATGAACCAATACTGATACATTATTATTAACTAAAGTCCATAGTTTATTCAGATTTCCTTCATTTATATCTAATGTCCTTTCTCTGTTCCAGGATCCCATCCAGGACATCTCATTACAGTTACTGGTCATGTCTCCTTAGACTCCTTTTGGCTGTGACAGTTTCTCAGCCTTTTCTTATTTTTGGTGACCTTGACAGTTTTGAGGAGTCCTGGGCAGGTATTTTGTAGGATGTCTCTCTATTGGAATTTGTCTGATATTTTTCTTATGATTAGAATGGGATTACAGGTTTTGCAGAAGAAGACCACAGATGTAAAGTGCTATTTTCGTTGTATCATACCATCAAAGGACTGCCTTTTAAAGTCATTTGATTTCTTAGACTTCATTGTTGTTGTTTTTAAGGATTTATTTATTTATTTTAGAAAGAGAAGGAGAAAGTGAGCGAGCACAAATAGGGGGAGGAGCAGAAGGAGAGAATCTCAAGCAGACTCTGCTGAGCGGGGAGCCCGACGTGGGGTTGGATCTTACAACCCATGAGATCAAGACCTGAGCCCAAATGATGAGTTGGACACTTAACCGACTGAGCCATCCAGGCACCCCTGCTGTTGTTGCTTTTTAAAAATATTATTTACTTATTTATTTATTCATGAAAGACAGAGAGAGAGATGCAGAGACACAGGCAGAGGGAGAAGCAGGCTCCATGCAGGGAGCCTGACGTGGGACTCGATCTGGGGTCTCCAGGATCAGGCCCTGGGCTGAGGGTGGCACTAAACCGCTGAGCCACTTGGGCTGCCCAAGCAAGCCAAGTATTATGGGAATATTATACCTGGCTTCTAATGAAGACCACCACAATATAGAAGCTGCTGTCGAACATTTACATGGCATCGCTACATCCCCTCTCTCCAGCTCTCTCTCTTTCCCTGGGCCCCTGCACTCCAGTGGAAAGCAGTTGGTCTTGGCTGGTATCTATTTGGTGTGCTTTATTTTCACCTGGGTCAAAGTAGTAGGAAGAAGTGACCTTAGAGATGGCTCTTCCTTTTTGTCTCAAGAAGCTGCCCATTCCCTGCTCAAATTCATCTTGTCTGCCTAGAAGATAAGAAAGAGAGATCTTTGTGGTTTTTGTTTTTTGTCTACTTCTTTTCTGTAAAGATTTTATTTATTCATGACAGAGAGAGAGAGAGAGAGAGAGAGAGAGAGAGAGAGGCAGAGACACAGGCAGAGAGAGAAGCAGGCTCCCTACGGGGAGCCCGATGTGGGACTCGATCCAGGACCCCGGGATCACGACCTGAGCAAAGGCAGATGCTCAATCTCTGAGCCACGCAGGCGCCCCTGTCTACTTATTTTCCTGAATACCATACAGAATGCTATCCTGGACACAGTAATGTCATATAGATCGTGTGTATGCTTTGTTAGCTTGAAAGTGCTTTTACATATGTCAAGTTTTGATTCCCATGATAAATTTGTGAGGTAGGCAAACCATGTATTATTGTCTTGGTCTTATAGGAAATAGAGGGAGAGAAGTTTAAATAACTTGCTCAGGCTGACACAAGTAAGTGCTGAGGACAGAACTCCATACAAGGCCTGCTGGCTGCAAACTGGTGCCTCAGTGTTTAGTGTGTTCGGGCTGCTGAAACAAAGCACCACACACTGAGCGGCTTAAATAGTAGACATGCATTGTCTCACAGCTCTGGGAGCTGGACAGTCCAAGATCAATATGCCAGCAAGGCCATGCTCCCTATGAAGGTGCCAAGGAAGGATCTATTCCAGGTCTTTCTCCGAGCTTCTGGTAGCTTCTTGGCTTGTGGCAGTCAGAACTCCAGTCTTCACCTGGCATTCTCCCTGTGGGTACATCTGTGTCTTGTGCTCCTGCCTCTAACTGGTAAGCCACACTGCCTCCCTCATCATCCCTTGTTTCTTTTATTAGCACCTTGCTGGTTAGTTTCTATCAGAGGTCTAGCATAGAGTTTGGGGGGCATCTCCAGTTTTGGGGGCTCAAGCCGGTCTCTCCCGTGAGTGGGGAGAGGTTCTGGGCAGCCAATGCCCTGCAAGGGGTGCAGGTGTTCTGGATCGCACTGCCGACGGACTTCCTTTTAAAATGCCAGAGCCATTAAGTGCAGTGAATTTGTTCTGGAGAAGAGTGGGTTGCAGTCAGCAGGAGTAAAAGCCATGCCACTTACTGGTCTAAAAAGGTGTTTAGCAGCTACAAATAACCCCCCTGGATTAATGGAATCAACAGTCTCTAGGTCTCTAGATGCAAAGGGGCCATTTATTCGACATCCATTCATTTATTCAACAAGCCATGGTGCCGGTTTGGGTTGAGCTGATTCTGAATTGAGACTGCTGTCCTTCCTCTTAAGGCTTTCTTCAATAATTATTCTGTTATTGACACATCACTGACCCAGGCATGACTAATGGTTTAGTATTACTGAGGGATACAGCTAAAGGTCACCTCGGGTGGGGGTTGAGGGGGGGCCCTGAGCTGACATTTCCATGGTACCAACGTGGAGCCAATGGAGATTTTAAGGGGCAGACCCCACTCAGTCTTTATAGCAGACTTGAGTGCCATTACAATGCTGCATAATCAAATTTTTCCCTTTTCTGAAATCTTTGTTCTGCTTATTAATTAAGTGAAATGACACAAGAGGGTGAGTGCTGGCGGTCTGTGGCGCACTTCGGTGTACTGTTAGGGCAGCCACACAGGCTTGATTACAGTCAGTGCGAACAGTAGCAGGTTACTTATTGGGTAATAAGACAGACCCAGGAGTGTCTTTGTACGAGTTGAAAGAGGAATTTTCAGATAAAGGAGAAAAAAAATGTTTTTAATGAAATTTAGAAAATGGGGTCAGAGTATAATTTATGGACTAGATCTTGCCCTCCAGCATCTGCAAAGATAGAAAGGAGACAGGGAAGGGGGAAGAAGCCGAAGCTCCAGGAAATTTCTCATTAGCTACACCTCTGTTTCCTATCCATCTGTAACCCCATGTCAATGGATTGCTTATATTTCTAGGCCAGCTTTGCCATCATCTCCTCAAGATGCCTTTTCTCTGATAAATCCTAGAGGGCCTGCCTGTAAAAGGCAATGGCTGGTTACTTTCACTATTGCCAGTTTTCCTAGAGGAGTCCTTGGGAGAGTATTGCCTCCCAGGGACTTGGGGGAGGCAACGAGTAAAAACTCTGTGTTTTATGCCTAAAGACAGGCTGGACACATTGACATAATCAGTCATGGTAGGTCAGTGCCTTGCAAAATGATGCCATAAATGTTTCCTGAGTGAATAGAGGAACCTTCAAAGAGGTCCATTCTGTTTGCTCCCTGTGGCGGACCTAGAGATCCTTTTTCAGGATTGAATGTTGGACACCCCCAGCTGCCAGGGTGCTGTAGGCAGCTGTCTCGGTTGTTAGCCCCTTCTGAGTTGTTGACTCAGATGAGAAAGGCCTCCAATGAGGACAGTTCCCCTTCCTGGGGCAGCTGTATCTAGTGACTGGTGATGAAGAGAAAGGGAGGCCTGGCCCTCTCCGCCAGTCGGGGCAGTGTTGAGGGATCAGGCCATCTTAAGAATTCCCCAGAGGGTTGGCTGCGTCCAATTTCTCCCTCTGCCCAATTTTACTACCTTCCCTCCTCCCCCAGGGGTCTTGGATCCCAAGAGCACACCCTAAAGATGTCCAGTGCCCGCATCTCTGTCTCAGAGTTGGCTTCTTGGGCAACCTGAGCTGTAACATTGATGAAATTGTGTAGGTGTCATGTGTTCTGTCCCAAGCATAGAGGAGATCTGGGGGCCCACTGGGTAGGGTGAAAAGACAATGTGCTACTCGTTGATCGAGGAGAGAACTCTTGTTTGTGTCTAGAACCTTTATGTGGCGTTTTCATAGGCTGGAGCACAGCAAACTCTGCCAGCAGCTGTACCCTTCCCTAGTCCCCAGCTTTACTCTGCTATTTAAGGGCTGCAGTTGCCTTAGAGCCAAACTTTGAGCCTCTCTCCTTTGAGACTGGACTGTGCTGGGACCGGTTTACTGGGAATGCGACTATATGACACAGCAGACGTTCATGAAAAATGCACACACCAGGTTAATAGTACTTTCTCATTGGATTCTTGCGTTTTGAGGAGGATATTGAAGCTATTAAAATGTGCATTTGGGAAACAGGCTGTGATGCAATCTGCATATTTTTGTGACCTTTGTTAAATGGGTTTCATTTGGTTCTCTAAAAAATGAAGGGTGTGTGCCTGGGTGGTGCAGTCAGTTAAGTGTCTGACCTTTGATTTCGGCTCAGGTTGTGGTCTTGGGGTCATGAGATTGAGCCCCATGTTGGGCTCCATGCTGAGTGTGGAGTCTGCTTGGGATTCTCTCCCTCCCTTTCCATCTGCCCCTCCGGATTGTGCTCTTTCTCTCTCAAATAAAGAAATAAATCTTTTAAAGAAATAGAAAGTGAAGGGAACAACTCTGGGAGTGCCTTCTGTTTATTTTCTTCCCTTCTTTTTCTAGGGCAGACGATACAATGCAGACCTTCCGTGCGTCCTGGATCAATCTATGTTTATTTGCTCCTGCCATTTGTGTGGCTCTATTGTTAAAAGAAGAGAATATGAGAGAAGAAAAGTTATGCTCCGTAGAGGCTTTTCCAATTAACTGTTTGAAGAGACTTTTAAAAAACGCCTAAGTGTGAGGTTATTTGTATACCTAATTTCATTTTTATGTTACCCGTACTTTTAAGTGTAATTTACCAAGGCTTAACACTTGTATTCTTTCAGGGGCATTACAAAGAGCATTGCACATTTATTATAGCCCTTTAAATGGCTGTGTTTTATTTATATATTCTTTTAAATGGTTATTGAGTGGATTTGGTGCTCTTCCTGTAGTTAAAGTGCATGTTTTTTATTGTACATAAATGGTAAATAATTGATACCTGCCATATGCTTCTTTCCCTTCCTGAGTTCCCGTTCCCCTCTTCATTCTCTCCCATTCCCTGTTGCTATTGGTTTCTGCCCTTATCTTGCTCTCTATCCTTTCTTCCCCTCTCTCTGCAGGTCTCCCCTGCTTTCAACACCATTTTCCTTGCCTTTCAATGTACTCATTTGAGAGGGGTTTTTATATGGATTCTTGAGACCATTGCATTACCCAGTAGGGGTGAAGGAGAGGGGGGTGCTAGGGCATACAGCTTTTTATTAGGTGATGTCTGGATCAAGAATTTTAAATAAGAGAGCAGTTTTAGAGAATGTTGCCTGAATTTTTTTTTCTTCCGATCACTGAATTGATATGGGGTGAGTTCTTTCTCATTGTCTCTGCTTCTCTGACTAACCAGTGACAATCTCTAGAAGTTTTGAATTAAGGAAGATGTATCAAGCATCTGTGACCACTCTTAGTGGGCAAAACTTCTCAAGCTGAACAATTTTAAAGGGTCTCTCATTAGGGAATGAGAGGATAACTAGTGCAAGGGGGAAATGTAAAGAATGTTCAGTTGGATGAGCTTGTTTTGGAGGAAATTCCTACTATGTTTAAGTCACAGAACTATAGAAATTTTAGATTCTTTGCTTTTAAACCTCCAGAAGGCAAATCAAAACCCATTTATAGATGTTACAGCTCACCGACACTAGAATAGTTTTCCTTTTTGAAATTTTAAAAAGGAGTTGAAAATTCATATGGAAATACAAGGAACCCAGAATAATCAAAACAATCTTGAAAAGGAAGAACAAAGTTGGAGGACTTGTGCTTCTCGATTCCAAAATTTACTAAAAAGCATCAGTAATTAGGGCAATACAGTACTGGGAAAAGGATTAACATATTGATCAATGGACTAGAAATGAGAGTCCAGAAGTAAACCCACATATCTGTGGTCAACTGATATATGACAAAAGTCCCAAGATCATTTAATGGAGAAAAAATTGACTTTCCACAAATGGTTCTGGTACATGCAAAGAAATGAAGTTGGATCTCTACCTTGCATCGTATACAAAATTAACTAAAAATGGACCAAAAACTTAAATGTAAAAGCTAAAACCATAAGACTCTTAGAAGAAAACATGGAGGTAAGTCTTTGTCACCTTGGATTTGGCAATGGATTCTTAGATATGATGCCAAAAGCATAAACAACAAAAGAAAAAGATAGATAAATTGGACTTCTCTAACATTAAAAACTTTTATTTTTCAAGGTACACTACTGAGGAAGTAGAAACACTACCCCTGGAATGGGAGAGATTATTTCCAAATCATATGTCTGATGAGATACTTGTATTTAGAATACAAAAAAGAATTCTTACAGTTCAGTAAGAGATAACCAGATTTTAAAATGGGCAAATGTTATGAGTAAACATCTTTCTATTTTTTAAGAGATTTTATTTACTTATTCATGAGAGCGGCAGAGACAGGCAGAGGGAGAAGTAGGGTCCCTTAGAGATCCTGATGTGGGACTTGATCCTGGGACCCCAGGATCACACCCTGAGCCAAAGGCAGATGCTCAACCACTGAGTCACCCAGGTGCCCCAGTAGACATCTTTCTAAAGAAGATAACCAAAGACCAACAAGAACAAGAAAAGATGCTAAACATCATTAGCTATCAGGGAAATGCAAATCAAAACCAAAATGAGATACCATGTCACACTTGCTATAACGAAAAAGAGACAGTAGCAAGTGTTGTCAGGATGTGGAGAAATTGGGACCCTCATATATTGCTGGTGGGAATGTAAGATGTTGTGTCATCTTGGAAAACAGTGTTTAGTGATTCCTCAAAAGATTGAACATAGAGATATATGGAGTGGAACCCAGGAATTCCACTCTTAGGTATATACTTAGGAGAAATGGAAGCATATGTCCACACAAAAACTTGAATGTGAAATGTTCATAGCAACATTACCTCTAATCATTAAAAGGCAGAAATAAACCAAATATCCATCAACTGATGAATGGATGAATTAAATGTGTTGTGTTTATATAATGGAAAATTATTTGGCCGTAAGAAGGAACGGAGTACTGATATATGCTACAGCATGGATGAACTTTGAAAACATTATACTGGGTAAAGAAGCTAATCTCAAAAGTCCACATAATGTATGATTTCATTTACATGAAATATCCAGGATAGGCAGAAAGTAGATTAGTGATTGCCTAATGCTGGGGGTGTCAGGGGGTGAATGGGGACACTGGAGAATGGTAGCTGAAGGATATGGGGTTTCTTTTTTGGGGTGATAAAATGTTCTAAGATTGTGGTGACAATCACACGTAACTCTATGAACTTGGCAAGAACCATGGAGTTGCATACTTTAAATGTCTGAATTGTGTGGCTTGTGAATTATCTCAGTAAAGCTGCTACTCACAAAAAATTATAATATCCAATAATTAAAAAAAGAGTTGGAACATTTTGAAGTTGTGAAAGGTGACCGTTCCCAAAAACCCAAGCTGCCCCAACTTTAAATAGTAACTTCTAAAACTCGATTGCTGTAAGTTAGCAATTATTCCTGTTTTACAGATACAATGATTGTGACATGGAGGGTTAAATGACTCATCCAAGGTCATACAGACAATTCATGGTAGTGATGGTGAGCCTAGATGCTGCTCGTAGTCTTCCAGTGCAGAGTTCTGTCCTTATAGCAGCTCTTCTCAGAGTTTGCTTTTCAGAGTCCTTAGGAGGCAGCAGAAATAGGAAACAAAGCCGCCCTTGCTTGTTTTCTTATATTGTTGCTCTGAACTGACCTAAGCCAATTTTTAATGCACAACGCTCAAGTCCTTTTTGGTAGATAACAGGAGCCATGAAAATGTTTGAGATGGGTGAGTTCCTTCCTCCCAACCTTTCTATTGGGTTATAATGAAAGCAGATCTCAAGAAAATTCTGGCCCCATATATGAAAGTTAATCAGTCATATGAGCAGCTCAAACAAACTGCTCTGCAAACACAATGACACACCAGATTTCTGTCCTTTTAATTGTGTCTGTCCCCACCTGCATGGAAGGTCCACTTGAGGTGGCTATGGCGATATTTCAGAGGCAGGATCCTGTTCTACAGTTCAAGCAACCAGAAATCCTCCTGACTGATGGCTGGACCTCAGGCCATTCAGAGATCAAGCCCTGGGCACCATCTCAAAAAGATAGGCTGTGGGTCCAGCTGGGTTCTGATCCCCTTTAAATAAGGATAGGGAGAGTCTTAAATATTTTAGCCAAGCTATACTTCTTGAATACATTTAATTTTACCAATAAAGTCTAAGATTCTGCTTCTGTAAAATGATGTATTTAAGGAGTAGTGTTGTAAATATGTGGAAACTTCTGTGATATACTAACTAAAAAGCGATTAATTCAATTAACGGCTTTAAATATAGTCATTTTAAAAGATTTCTAAAATTCACTAGGGTAATTAGGGTGCCGATTGAGATAAAGAGACAGACGTATTTGTAATAGCTGCTTCTACAGTGGTCCTTTCAAATATGATGCTAACTAAGCACCCCAGGAGTGTGGATTTCCCATTAAGGCAGCTGATTGCTCCTAGAGTGGAAGCTTAAACTAACCAGCATATGCAGAATATCTCACAGCCTATGCTGAAGTATTTCAAATTAAGTTACGATTAATAAATAAATTAATAAATATGCAACGAAACCAAGCAATATACCAGGACTGTCAAGTTGCATTATAAATTTTAATTACATATTGTGATGCCTATATCCTCAGGCTTGTTAGCAAATGATAAAATTTTTCAAATCAAATAAAGAGAAAATTGGTAGAAGAGAAAGAGAATTGACGGAAAAAATGATACAGAGACAGAATGGTAGACTTATATACAATTCAGAGACCCAGGGAGAGACATAAGTAAGAATCAGAAACTAAGAGCCAATATGGTCACACAACCTCGGGTTGTTCACATTCTATTTTCTCTGTGGTTCCCTCCAAGACATTCTTTCTAGTGACCAAGAATAATAGCAGGTCTGTCTCATTAAAATTATCCCCAGTCTGGCTGGAAGGATAAATTGAGGTCAGCAGAAACATCTTCTGAGAATCTCCATGTTCATTGCAGCATTACTTATAATAGTCAAGACATGGAAATAACTTGTGCCCATTGGTAGATGAATGGACAAAGAAAATGTATCCTATGCATGCATATGTATGTGTGTATATATGTCTATAGATTCAGCATAAAGAAGACAGAAGTCCTGCCATTTGAGACAACATGAGTGGACCTTGAGGAAATGCTAAGTACAATAAGTCACAGAGAAAGATGAATACTGTATGATCTCATTTATATGTGGAATCTAAAAAAAAAAAAGAATTCATAGAAACAGAGAATAGACTGGTGTTTGCCAGAGGCTAGGGCTAGGGGATGAGGGAAATGGGGGAAGGTGGTCAAAAGCTGCAAACTTCCAGGTATAAGATAAATAAGTTCTGGGGATCTAATGTACAGCATAGCGATTCAAGTTAACAACACTGTACCATATCCTTGAAAGTTGCTAGGAGAATAGATCTTAAAAGTTCTTGTCACAGGAAGAAAAAATTGTAACTATGGGAGGTGACAGATATTAACTAAACTTCTTGTGATGATCATCTTGCAATATATACATGTATCCAATCATCATGTTGTACATCTAAAAATAATACAATGCTGTATGTCAATTATATCTCATTAAAACCAGAGAAAAAGAGAAATCTCTCCTGATAAAATAAACTGGAACTCACTGTCATTCCTGAGTCTGGCAGCAGGCTCGGTTAGGGACTGGAAAGGATGCCTCCTAGGGCAGGCTGGCAGTGCTACAGCTACACGTTGGCTGGCATAATTCCAGAGAACTCTTCCACGTAGTGTAGGTTGAGCGAATGGCTGACCATGGGCAATGACACAGGGGATTTGGAAAAGACTGCCCTTATCTCATTGTTCCTACTCATTGCCTGCCATCACGTGATATTGGGCAAATTAGTAAACGTTTCTGGATCTCAAATTTCCATCTTCATAAAATAAGGTGTATTGAGGACTAATGCCATGAGTACACACAGACTCCTTTAAGTACTTCTTTTCTTTTTTTTTTATTTCTTCCTTAATTCACTTTTTTTTTTTCATACCAGATTTGTTGTTGCTGTTGTTAGGAGTATCTTAAAAATGCCTGTGGGTTCTGGGAGAGGTACATTAAGACCGTTCTTCTCAAATACCCATCAAAATGTTCATAATGAGGAAGGGAAATAAACATTAGACCCCCTGAGATCTGGGGAAGGAGTTGGAAGCTCTTGCCTTGAGCTCAAAATTTATTTGAAGTTTTATGATTTATTTTTAAAGTCCATGAATTT